TGTGGTTTAACCCACAGCGCCACTCTGTCTCCCTTAGCCTGGCACTTGATGGTGGGCAACAGAGTCCTGAGTGAGGTCCTTTGAAGGCTACTCCAACAACCAGAATAAGTTTCCATTATCCTCACCACTCACCACTCGGTTTTTCGCCTACTTCGTAGCAAATCGTCACAACTTTCTTGGTATTGGCAGTTAGGCATTGGTATTGGTATTGTTATGTAGATGGAAGAGGGGAGGAAGCGCCATCACCTGCCCCACATATTGAAGGGTAGTCTGATAAAGGATTCCAGGGGGCGTGGCCCTGTCCGAAGCCTATGGAGGTGATGGCATAAGGCACTCCCCCTAGCAGTGACCCCCGGGGGAGTTCCTAGTTGATGTGCATCAGCAGAACTCCCCCTACTGGTGGTTAACGCTTCCCGGACTTCAAGTGGACGGCTGAAGCCAGATAGTCGGTTAGGACCAATGCCTAAGCCAATACCGTTCATCACCTGTAACCAATAAAGTTGTGGCCTTATTTAGCCCATTAACCTTAAATAATTGTGTCATGTGTGCTTTTTCCCCACTGTGTGTGTGTGTGTGGGGGGGACTCACCATGCAAGTGTGGGAGTGTGGGAAATAGCTTGCTGAGTTATTGGGGTGCTGGAGTGATGTTATTTCTTGGGGATAAATCCTGATTGTGGAAGAGAGGATGGGCATGCTTGCTGAGGCTACACTTGCAAATAATCAGTTTATTGAAAATGGCGCCACAAGTCTCCATGACTCCCTTCTCGCAAGGAAACTGGAGGTATAAAAGACTTGATGTTCTCTTACCCACATACCTGCATCCCATTGCCTTTAGACATTTTCATTCCTGAAGTCAAAAAGAGAAAGTGGCACCTGTCCCCTTGCCATTTGGTTGATGGCTTTCAAACATGGAAGGCAAGAAAATGAGGACACTTTCTGAAACTTGCTTGAGACAGCTCATCTAGACTAGTCAAATTTCCTGTGTTGGCAAACTCTCCTTCATCTTGCCGCTGTTCCTCAATAACAGGTCAAAAAGACAAAAGTAAACCATGGCAAAAATAGAGTGGTGGCATATTTTTTTTAAAGCATACTAAAACAACAACACTTTTATAGAGCTATATGGGCAATAACAGAGAGAAATGGAGATGAACCCCCCTATTTTTAGAGTAACTGAGCTGTCAACATTGCTATTTTCAGCAGATATCGAAGACACCAGGTGGCAGCAGAGGAACAGGCCAAGACTACTACTTTAGCTGGACTAGAGACATAGTGATATTGTTTGCAGGAACCATGGTGAATTTATGAGGGAATTTGGTTTTGTAGTGGAAATAGGAGGAGGATCCTAAGACAATTTCAGCTCACGGATTAACAGGGTGCTGTGAAAATGTAAACATGCAGATTTTATTGGGCCTGAGCTCCTCCTACCCCTTTTGCCTATGTATTTTTGAACATCTATCAATGGCAGTGGAACAACGGATGTGTTATCTGAAGCCACCCAGAGTGGTTGGCGTAACCCAGTCAGATGGGCGGCATATAAATAATAAATTGTTATTGTTATTATTGGCACAGTTTAATGATGCATTCATTTTATTACAAGTAAAATCCTAGCCACAGTTCAGTTTAATACTGTATTTTTATATAAAATAACCTATTTAGCTTCTGGAATAACTGAACAGAAAGGTAGAAATCAAATTACTACATTCTTTCCCTCTTAACTCACAACTTTTGCTTGTTGAATTGTTACACGCCACCCCAATCTCCCAGTGATGCAAAGTTCGAGGGGTTCCAAGCACTTACCCGTAGTTTAGGTTTCCTTTTCGAAATGAGGCACAGGGGAGAATGTGGTGTCTTTAGGATATATAGCTTATTCACACATAAATAGAACCTGAGTCTGTGATGGAGGAACTCACAGCATTCAGACCTCAAAAAGTCTTGTTTCTCCCATAGTCGCTGCCTTGGATTCCAGCAGAAATCAGGCCCGGCTTTCTCTCTCTGCCTCTCCAGCCTGACGCTTTTGCCTCCAATTTCTAGCTCACATCACATCACTCAGCTCTTGTCTTTTGTCTTTCTGAGTGTAGGTACTAAGAGGGTAGGGTGGTGGCAGCGCTAATGGATAATTTGAACTGCAACTGGCCAACTTTGCAAGGAAAGGCACAAGCAAGCATTCCTATAGCCTTCCCCTTTGGTTACACCCTTCCCCTGTAACCTCCTGGAGGGTACAGATTTTTCCTGCTGTATCTCTTCCAACTCTGCTTTTGATCTCCTCCAAATTGCCTTTATTCCCTGTAGTCAACTGAAACTGCCCTCTGGAAACTACTGGGCTCTTCCATGGGCTTCTATTTGTCCTCATCCACTTTGACCCTTCTGCTGCCTTCGGTACAGTCTGGGATTGGTTGGTAAGGGGCAGGTGATGGTTGCAGAAGCAGGGGGAAAGCAAAGCCATCTTTGTGAGGGAAATGGACTGGGGAGCTCCCCGCTCCCCTCTCCAAAAATTGCAACTAGCAATGTTTACTTAGTAGACAATTCCTTGGGACCACACATAGTAGTCTGTTGGTGGCTACGTCATTGTTCATTTTATCACAAATCAACTGGAGGATTGCAAATTGGAATGAAGAACATGAACTTCTACCTTGTGTTTTGTTATGTACTGAGTTGAATAGGATCCAAAATGCAGCAGTCTGATTGGTCTAGAACAATGCAGCAGTATGACTGGTCTGCAGGAGCCACCCAATCCAGCTCCAGATGGAAGTAAACCGACAACCTGATTGGCCTACAGGAGAATTCCGGAATTAGCCAATCACGTGCAGCCCATTGTGTAAATAATGTATATAAAGCAGATACTTTGAGGGGACTTTCACTCCTCCTCACCGCTATGATTCATTCACATACCAGCAAATTCAGGTTGTGCAATTTAAGTTGATTTGGAGCTCTTGTGTAACACTTCTGCTCTCTGTGCGCCAATGAATTTTTTCAATAGGAAAAGTGATAGGAAAATCCACCGGGAAATGTGGGATAATGCTTGCTTGATACATGGGAAGGATGTGGAATAGCCCAGAGGGTACAGCATGAGACGCTTAACCTCCGGGTCTTGAGTTTGAGCCCCGTGTTGGGCAAAAGATTCCTGCATTGCAGCAGGTTGGACTAGATGACCCTTGTGGCCCCGTCCAACTCTGCAATATTCTACGAGAAGGTTGTCCCTGCAAACAGATGAATGGATGAATGCTCAGTAAATACCGAACGTGCATCCACTGCATTTCAAGTCCTGAGTTTTTAATCCATGTTCACACAATGTTATCCAAGATGCGTATGTATCCTGCACTTCGTTGTGGGATCGGTGCACCAAATGTAGTGTCTAAATGATGTAAGGTAAAGGGTAAAGGGATCCCTGACCGTTAGGTCCAGTCGTGACCGACTATGGGGTTGCGGCGCTCATCTCGCTTTATTGGCTGAGGGAGCTGGCGTACAGCTTCCGGGTCATGTGGCCAGCATGACTAAGCCGCTTCTAGCGAACCAGAGCAGCGCACGGAAACGCTGTTTACCTTCCTGCCAGAGTGGTACCTATTTATCTACTTGCACTTTGACGTGCTTTCGAACTGCTAGGTTGGCAGGAGCTGGGACAGAGCAATGGGAGCTCACCCTGTCGTGGGGATTCGAACCGCCAACCTTCTGATCAGCAAGTCCTAGGCTCTGTGGTTTAACCCACAGCGCCACCCACGTCCCCTGTAAGCAGTTTCAAAATGCCAGTCTCCAGGCCCCTCTGCTCCATTTCTTCTACATCAACTTTTTCACCAATACATTGGTGGTGGGGAACCTGCTGGTTACAATCCATTTGCAAAACCCGAATGACCTGCTTGCAATACTACACTCTGTCCGAGAGCAACTTTAGTCTCCCATCAAGCCCCACTTCAACCCCCCTTTTCCCCATGGAGTCTGGCTTAAGCCCTTAGTCTTTATCCTTCAATTAAAACTAAGCCAAAGGAATCACAAATGCTTTTAATCACATTGATCCCTTGTGACACAGGCTTTCCTGTTTGTTGTTGCTGCAATTGCTGAAATTTGGCTTGTAAAGTCCTCAAAGCAGGGACCTGTGTTTTTCCCCTTTCCTTTTTGCTCATCATGTACAGTGGTGCAATAAAAGTACCATCACAGTCACCACTGCCACCATCACCAGAAGCCTGCATTGCAAATATATGCACATATCTCACCACACGAGTAAAAACGAAATGAAACGCCATCCACACAATGCGCTTTAGTAGTCGGCAGCTGGGTAACATGCGATTTTATTTCCTTACCGCATTATGGATTGGGAAAATCCAAGTGAGAATGGGGGAAAGTGTGGGATGCCATGTGGGTGAGAACAACACAAGTTACATGTGAGATGCATCCAATCCACTTTAAGTTGCTGTGTGTTTACAGCCTTAGTTCACCACAGGGCCTGTTTCTTGGGTTGTACATGATGTACAATGCCTAGGCCAGCATCGCCTGCGCTCTGCGAGTGCAGCTTTCTCCCAGTTGAAGTGCAGAGTGTTTGAGGACTGGGACATTCGCAGGGAAACCAAAATGCTTGTTTACAAAGCTATTGTACTACCAACCTTACGGTATGCTTGGGGTCCACTTATAAATGCCATCTCCAACTCCTCGAAATATTCCAGCAACAATGTCTCTGAAAATTTTTACACATCACTTGGGAAGACAAGTGAACTAATGCCAGTGTACTGTAAGAAGCAAAGATCACCGTGTTGAAGCGAAGATTCTTCAACATCAACTTCTTTGGACTGGTCGTGTTGTACGGATACCTGATTATCGTCTTCCAAAGCAACTACTCTATTCCGAAGTTAAAAATGGAAAGCGTAATGCTGGTGGTCAATAAAAGAGGTTTAAAGACTGCCTCAAGGCAAATCTAAAAAATGTCGTATAAACACCAACAACTGGGAAACACTGGCCTGCGAGTGCTCCAGTTGGAGAACAGCCTTTACCAAAGGTGTTGTGGGCTTTGAAGATGCTCGAACTCAGGATGAAAGGGAGAAATGTACCAAGAGGAAGGCACAATTATCAACTCCTGCCTGGACATGTGGATCCAGAATTGGCCTCCCCAGTCAGTTACGGACCCACGGTTAAAACCATGTTTATGGAAGACAATCTTACTCAGCTACGAGTGATCGCTAAAGAAGAAGACAATGCCTAGGGTGTAGAAACAGATTACCGTGGTCATGTAAACATATTCCCTACAGGTCTGAAACCATCTCCAAACATCCATGTTCTAAGAGGCTTTACCCCCTTTACAGTTTTGTTTCATCGCATTCCCCGCCCCTCTGTTCATCATTCAGAAATTCTTAGCAAGCACTTCTTGCAGTAATCACCAGTCGGAGGAGCCCACTCCCCCCGTGCTTATATTTCCGAATCTTCAATGGGGCTGTTCAAAAATATCTTAGGGGGAACAAATGGCAAGCCCTCGTAGGGGAGGATTAACGTTTGGACCGGGAATCCTCGCTTGGCACTTGTTGCCTGGTAGGACTTACTTTCCGTTACTCGATTCTGAAGTGTTCCCATTTCAGAGTCCCAAGCTTGCGCCCTCCTCAGTTTATTAAAAGTGTTTCGGAAGCCCTCTGTGTTGAAGTAATAGATCAGGGGGTCCAGAGTGCAGTTCATACTGGCCAATATCACTGTGATGACCAGGGCCTGCCGTACCGAATCCTTCATTTGCACGTCGGTCTTGATCAGCTGGGCTTTTATCAGCCCATACACTGCCAGAACGACATTGTAGGGCACAAAGCAGATAATGAAGATGACCAGGTTGACCACTAGCATGCGAAGCGTCTTCCGTTGGCGCAGGCTCTGCATCCCACCAGCCTGGCACAGTTTCTGGAAAATTCGGACCGAGCAGTAGGAAACGGAGGTCAGGGGCAGAAGAAAGCCAAGGATCTCCGCCAGGATGATCAAGGGCAGGAGCTCTTTCTGCCACAAGCCTTCGCTGAAGTTCTCGAAGCAAAGAGTGATGGTCGTCCTGTCTTTGACACAGGAAGTGGATTTGTGGACATAAGCCACAGGAATAGAGCCTACCAGGATAAGCACCCAGACCACAAGACAGACAATCCGAGCCAGTCTGGGGCGCCGGAGGTGGCGCCAGCGAAGGGGGTGGACAATTGCCACGTAGCGGTCCAAGTTGATGCACATCAGGAAGAGGCAGCTACCGTACATGTTGATTTGGAAGACAGAGCCCGAGACCTGGCAGAGGAATTCTTTAAAGGGCCACTGCTCCATGGAATAGTAGGAGATACGGAAGGGCAAAGAAATGGTGAACAGGAGGTCGCTCGCGGCCAAGTTAAGCATGTAGATGCTCACCACCGACTTGAGTTTCAGGTAGTTCAAGAAGATCCAGATAGCGGCCACATTGAGCAGCAAACCTGCGGTGAAGATCAGGCTGTAGCCAATCAGGTGCAGCCGGTGGTTGGCACTGTGGTCCTTGCAAATCACGATCGGGGTGACATTGGCTGATGACATGCCTGTGAAGCATCTGAGGGCCTCAGTCCTGCTGTTCAGGGTGCTTGGAGACAATCTCCTTCAAAGGAAAGGGCACCAGGAAGGGTGCGCAATTCTCAAGTTGGTGATCATTTCTTTATTTCATTTCAAGCAGTTGCTGCTGCTAGATGGTTCTCTTCCCAGCATTCCTACTTGAGCCTCCAAGCCCCAGGAACTGTCAGAGATGGGAAGGTCGGCGCCATTCATGACCATACAGAATGATGAGTCTGGAAGAGAACGAAAAATATAGTTACAGTGGTACCTCGGGTTACATACGCTTCAGGTTACAGACTCCGCTAACCCAGAAATAGTACCTCAGGTTAAGAACTTTGCTTCAGGATGAGAACAGAAATCGTGCTCCAGCGGTGCAGCGGCAGTGGGAGGCCCCATTAGCTAAAGTGGTGCTTCAGGTTAAGAACAGTTTCAGGTTAAGTACGGACCTCCAGAACAAATTAAGTATTTAACCCGAGGTACCACTGTATTAACTGTAGCATACTCACATCAAGATAAGTGAGGAATTCAGTCACAGGGAAGGGGAGACAAATGCACATAAGGAGAAAGGAAAAGGCAACAGGTAGATAGATACAGCATGTTGTCATGAAAATATTTAGAAGGTTTCTCCAGATTTTCCTCTCTGCTATTTATCAGCTAATTTAATAACTAACTACACAGAGCAGGGAGAACTTAACCCTGTCCCTACCTCTCTTTACCCATCAGGAAAAACTCATTCTCCGGGTTCTGATAATAGGGTGTTGCCATCACCAAGAATACCACATAACATCCTCAAGAGTCTTTGGGTGGGGTTGAACTATCAGATAATGAATTTCTTTGACTTTTTTTCATAAATCTTGGCTCAATTCAGAGAGCATGGCAACACTGCATGCACAAACCACAGCCTGCAGTTTCACTTCAGACTATGACTTCCGATTCTGCTCTCTCTTGACAGAAGGAGGTAAGATTCATTAGCTGTGTCTGGGTGTCTGAATTAAGCTTGTGTTGAAGTGGGAGAAAATAGCAAGTAAACCATTAATGAAGTGTAGGTGAGTTCCCACGAGGCAAGACACAGCGATAACAGCAAGAACCTTGACTGAACTACATAACTGGGAAACAGGGGCAAAGCAACTGCTTATATACATTCCTGAAAGCCCGGGCCACTCCCACTCCTAACGTGATTGGCTGTCTAAACTCCCAAGCTGCGAATCACGACTCAGAGTTCAAGGGCCAATGGCAGAGGCCCAAATCCTGAAATGTTCTGTGATTGGACATCATGTATCAAATCAGAACACAGGAGCTCAGAATCCTTAGTCCAGACTCAAGCTCAGGCAAACACAGACCACTGAATAAAGGTAAAGGTAAAGGTACCCCTGCCCGTACGGGCCAGTCTTGCCAGACTCTAGGGTTGTGCGCTCATCTCACTCTATAGGCCGGGAGCCGGCGCTGTCCGCAGACACTTCCGGGTCATGTGGCCAGCGTGACAAGCTGCATCTGGCGAGCCAGCGCAGCACACGGAACGCTGTTTACCTTCCCGCTGGTAAGCGGTCCCTATTTATCTACTTGCACCCGGGGGTGCTTTCGAACTGCTAGGTTGGCAGGCGCTGGGACCGAACGACGGGAGCGCACCCCACCGCGGGGATTCGAACAGCCGACCATGCGATCGGCAAGTCCTAGGCGCTGAGGTTTTACCCACAGCACCACCCGCGTCCCTGTAAGACCACTGAATACATAACAATTAAAATATTAGACTTTAAAAAAAGAAAGAAATGGCACATTTCATTGTGGAAATCCAAGCTTGGGGAAGCTGCCCTAGCCTGATATTGAGCATTATTATGGTTTTTGACCTCTTATCTTACTGGATAGACTTCCCCTACTTGACCGTGCACTTAGATTAGTAGATTTCCTTTTCCTTTTTATCATTATTCTCCGCCATGTGTTGATTTGGCAGGCCCTTCCTTGAGGCAGTGAGGAAGTTACAATCACAGGGTACAAATACATTGTCTCCAAAACACAGGAGCCCTTTCAAACGCTCCTCGCATGTTGTGTTCCAAAACAAATCTCTGTTAATCACAAAACATTAATTAAAAACTAGAAACATGGGAATCTGTGTCATACCCTAAATCAATTATGGGGAAAAGATCTAGGCGAAAAATCAATACTGCTTAATGGGTTACAATTTGGTGCAACCCCCCCCCCACAACCCAACAACATTCAAACTGATTTCTGCGAGAAAAATAGTTGAAAATCCTACACAGATGCCACCCCACAGCCTAAGTCAAATAGCTTCATCTAACTCTGCTGTGTGCTGGAGGGGATGTGGGGAGACAGGAAAGTATGTCCACATGTGGAATCAAGCTCCTCAATTCTTCTGATCATTCTGGAAGAAAGTCTTTGAAGAGCTAGCATGATGACAGCCCAACAGATTCCTATGAAACTTCAAATGGCTCTTCTTTCCCTATATAGTAGAGAAGAACTTGGATTACTGCATAGGAAATTGCTCTTATTCATAGTTAGTGATGCAGGATTGACAACTGCAAAGTTCTGGAAAGCCCCTGCCTCCAGTAAATTAGAAACCAGGTGCAGTAACAACAGCTTTAGCTTTTAGCATTCATGGAACAATTGACTGCATGTATAAACAGATAACGTATAAACAGATGACACAACCTTGATGGCAGAAAGTGAGGAGGAATTAAATAACCTTTTATTGAGGGTGAAAGAGGAGAGTGCAAATATGGTCTGAAGCTCAACGATCTTCTGACATCCACGGGTTGCATTGATCTCCGGGAAAACGTCGAACCATAGCGTTCGCAATCCGCAGCGGCGCATCTGCACACACGCAGGTTGCGATTCAGCGCTTCTGCGCATGCGTGACCACCGAAACCCAGAAGTAACCCATTCTAGTACTTCCGGGTTTCGTTGGGTCCGTAACCCGAAAAAATGCAACCTGAAGCATCTGTAACCTGAGATATGACTGTATTAGTTTTGTTCTGTTATGTACAGAAATCAATAAAACATTTTAAAAAACAACAACCCTAAGTAGGCTCATATGGGAGAATGCGGTCCGTCTGATCACTTGCTCCCAAGCTGTGTAAGGCTTTGCAGGTCAGAACCAGAACTCTGAATTGTGTCCAATAACAGACTGGTAGCCAGTGAAGCTGTGGTAACAAAGAGGTAACAAGGGAGTCACATCCCCTTTATAATCAGCCCTGGTCAATTGGCTGCTAGCTGAAGTTTCCAAACACTATTCAAAGCTAGGCCTGCAGAGTTGTTGTTGCTATTATGGTTGACATCAGTGCTGGATTTACGTATAAGCTAAACAAGCTATAGCTTAGGGCCCTACTCTCTTGGGGCTCCCCAAAAAAATTAGAGGGGAAAAAACCTGGATGTACATTTCCAAAATATAAGGTAAAAAACAAAAATAAAACCTACATACAGCAACAGTGTTTTGTTTTGTTTTGTTTTGTTTTGTGTTGTGTCTGGACCTATTAGGTCCATAAATTACCATGTAGCATATATTCAACACAAAAAACAGCGACAATTTGTTGTTGACAAAGGACAGCTGGACAGCTGGACAAAGGGTCCCATTACCTTCAGTAGCTTAGGGCCTCATCAAACCTAAATCCAGCCCTGGACTTGACATCCATCTATCTCAAGAGGAAATGGAGTGCACCTCCAGGGGTGAAGGTAACCCACTTAGTGACCTCCCCGGGGGCAAGTCTGAGCAGTGTGTCTCAAAATCCTGGGCTGCCCAGACAACAAGACCCTCTTCTCAGCTGATGGGGTCCAAAGGAAAGCAAAGCAATTACATCTTAGCCTTTTCTTCTCCAGAAGATGTCCTGCAAGGCAGCATGTGCCGATATTTCCTCAGGGTTTAACTCCCGGAGACTTTTCTCCATATTACAAATAAGATGTAACTAAAGCATGCGTCACTTTCGGAAAGGAGTGCAGTACCTGATGCACCTTCAGCTGTGCAAAATCGCTCCTGGCTACTGATGAAACTGATGAAACAAGCACACCCAGTCGGTGAGCTTGAGTCATTTCCCCATTCCAGAGGTCCACCATGGCTTTGACAGTATCCCAGGTGAGACGAAAATTCCCAGGAGTCATCCAGAAACCATCTGGATCCTTTAGCTTCCTGGGACGGCCTATTTTAATTGGTACCCCGACTCCTGAAGAGGTTCAGCGTCCCAGCAAGCCTCTACAGGGCTGAACTTCTGAACCAACTTTTGTCAGCAAACGCCTCTGCATCCTTTATTTTTGCTGATGGTCGTGGGGAAAAGAAGCCTCCGTGTGATCTCACAGCTCTGTGGGCACATTTTCATGCCCCTGTTCTAGGGTGGTCAGGTGGAAGAGAGGCCAGGGCTACTGTACTTTTAATCGTAGCACAGAATTTGGGAAGGCACAGGTTTTTCTCAGTTTGTCTGCCCTGACAATCTGCAGCTGAAGGAATCCCCTCTCACTTGCAACTATTAATGGAACAGGAGTCGCCTCATTTCCTCCACTGCTTGTCACTGTAAGGAACTGCATTCTAGGCGTGTAACCAAAATTTTTGAGAAACGCAAAGAGTGCGCAGGGTGGCAGAGGATGAAGCAATAAAGAACAGCCAGAACCTAAATGCAGGTAATCCAATATGCTTAAAGTTATTATTTTTGCCATCAATTTTACCACCTCCATATAGTCCAATAGTTTTAAAATAGGAGACCAAAAAGACTAAATGTTTGTGGAAGAGTGGAGAGCCTTTTCGGATTATCTGAGAAAATGCACAGGTGGTAGAGAGGGCAGATCGCCATCCTATGCCCATCTGCCTAGGAGCAAGCCGCATCGAACTCAGTGAAACCAATTTCTCTGAGTAGATATGTATAGGATTGTGCTGCATGAAAGATTCTGTGCAAATGTTAACTGACTACTGTGGAGTGTGGAATGGCTCTATAAACTTCCTGTCTGTTGGGCCTTCCTAGAGAATATGATCTGGCGAGAGGCTGCTTAAAATGGCAGCCGCTCGAGCGCTGCTGCTGCTGCTGGCACCAACAAAGCCCAGCCCCCTTCCTCCTCTAGGCAGGGCAGGGAGAAGCCAGGAGGAGGGAGGGAGGAGGTGCTGCCGCCATGTGTGGGAGGGAGAGGGAAAGAATGCGTGTGCTGGCGATCCACGCGGTGATTCCCGGACCATCCACGGGCCAGATCCAGAAGGCAATTGGGCCTGATCCGGCCAGCGGAACTTAGTTTACCGACCCATGCTCTACGGGGAGCTGGCTTCAGGCACCAGGCCTGTTGGCAGACCAACTCTTTATTATAAAAATGTCTGCAAATGTGACATGAAGACTGGGAACATTAACCCCACCCAGTAGGAATCCCTTGCAGATGACTGCAAAGCCTGGAGACAGTCAGATTGTGTATCCACAGCAATGACCAGAGGAGGAATGATGGCTGGGAGGAGCGCAGAGAGAAGAAATGCCATGGTGCATCTGCAACAGCACAAATGGACACCTTCCTCTGCCCCAGTTGCAACAAAACATGTCTCTCCTGTATCAGTCTCTACAGGTACAGCAGGCGCTGTAACTCTCCAATGGTTTTTCACCCCCCAAAGGTGCAATCCTCAATGGTCTCCTGAGACAGATGGATGTCAACAACAACATAGGAACATAGCAGAGAGCAGTCGGCCTGCTCTAAGTGTCTGTCACTCTTCCTGTTCTACTTATGCTTTTACCCTTTGGTCCCCAAATAAAATTAGCTGACGTCTTTCTTAAACTTTACAAGTAAATCCCCGTAATTAATTGCTCACAACTGTAACGGGGGCACATCAAAAATGGCAGCGGCTACTTCTGTGACTAGAAAAACTACTTCCCCTATCCAGTTAGGAAAGTAGTTTCTGTGGTTTTCTGCCCACCAACACACTTCAGACATTAATTTATGTGTGGGAAAACAGAGAGAATCTTTCAAAGCATAACAGAAGCAGCACTAGATCTTAGGGCTCGTCCACAACAACTTTCTGCTGCAATTTCTAGGCACAGATCCATGTTTTTCTGGTCTGTGTCCAAGTGTGTGTGTGTGTGTGTATGTGTAGTTTAGGGATTTGCATTTTTAAAAATTACAATTAATTAATTTTTTTTGCGCTGCCACTCTCCCCACAAAAACCCGCTCTTTAAAGCTCTTGGCAATCCACAGAAAACACAAATTGCCATTGAGCATTAAAGAGCAGGTATTCCTGGGGAAAGTGGTGACACAAAATAATGATGATGATGATGATGATACAGTGGTACCTCGCAAGACGAATGCCTCGCAAGACAAAAAACTCGCTAGACGAAAGGGTTTTTTGTTTTTTGAGCTGCTTCGCAGACGATTTTCCCTATGGGCTTGCTTCGCAAGACGGAAACGTCTTGCAAGTTTGTTTCCTTTTTCTTAAAACCGTTAAACAGTTGCGACTTGAACTTCGAGGAGCAACTCATAAACGCGGTGTGGTAGCCTTTTTTGAGGTTTTTAAAGCTTTTTGAGTTTTTGAAGCTTTTCCAAAACTTTCCCGAAACCCGTGCTCGCAAGACGAAAAAATCGCAAGACGACAAAACTCGCGGAATGAATTAATTTCCGTCTTGCGAGGCACACTGTAAATAATAATAATAATAATATAATAATAAATAATAATAATATAGCTTGGAAAAGGGAAGACCTGTAAGTGGAAAGCAGAAGGCAAAAGGTAAATGTGGATGAGCTCTTAGGGAGGCGAGAGAGAATACCCCCAAAATCAGCCTGGTTATGTTGCTTTTGTTTTCCTGGTGAGCATAGCCTCAACACTAATTACAGTGGTACCTCAGGATGCGAATGGGATCCGTTCCGGAGCCCCGTTCGCATCCAGAAGCAAATGTAACTAGCGACGGCACGTCTGCGCATGCGCATGTCGCTTTTCGCTGCTTCTGCGCATGCGTGTGCCGTCATTTTGAGCACCTGCGCATGCGCGAGTGGCGAAACCCGGAAGTAAGGCACTCTGTTACTTCCGGGTTGCTGCAGAGCGCAACTCGAACGCGCTCAACATGAAGCATATTCAACCCGAGGTATGACTGTATAATAACTATCCCCTCTTATGAGGGAATGTTGGGAGCTGAAATTAGGGGTGCTTAGGGTATGGAAGTGAAAGCTGGACCATAAAGAAGGCTGATCGCCGAAGAATGGATGCTTTTGAATTCTGGTGCTGGAGGAGACACTTGAGAGTCCCATGGACTGCAAGAAGATCAAACCTCTCTATTCTGAAGGAAATCAGCGCTGAGTGCTCCCTGGAAGGACAGATCCTGAAGCTGAGGCTCCAATATTTTGGCCCACCTCGTGAGAAGAGAAGACTCCCTGGAAAAGACCCTGATGTTGGGAAAAGATGGAGGGCACAAGGAGAAGGGGACGACAGAGGACGAGATGGTTGGATAGTGTTCTCGAAGCTACCAGCATGAGTTTGACCAAACTGCAGGAGGCAGTGGAAGACAGGAGTGCCTGGCGTGCTCTGGTCCAGGGGGTCACGAAGAGGCGGACACAACTAAACGACTAAACAACAACAAGGGTTCCAGACCCAGGGTAGTCCTAGTGGATACATCCAGTATGAAATTAAATTAGGCTGTCAGTCAAAGTGCCAATGGCCAGGCAACTAGGACTTGCACCTTTACAGGAAGGGCTCAGTGGAAGAGCGTCTGTTCTGCATAGAGAAGGTCCTTTAATCCCTGGCAGCTCCAGGTAGGACCCTTGCCTGACCCTGAAGAACCATTGCATGTCCATATCAACAATCCCTAGATAGATGGACCAAACGTCAGTATAAGGCAGTTTCCTATGACAGTGGTTAGACTTGCGCCGCAAGGTGTCATTGGTCTACGAATCCCATGCTATCTGACCAATGACCAGACTGGATGAGAACCGGAGTCCATCGCAATCTGGAGATCCCATCCCCGTTCTTAGCCTTTTTCTTAGGTCAAAATCAGGTGCTATATTTGGGACATGTGAACAGTCTCCCAACATCTTTTCAAAAATGAAAAGCAGCTACAGGAGGCAGCCAATTTCAGGGGAGGAACATGGGCTTTGAAACCATTTTGAGATTGTCCTGTAGATAGATCTGCCCAAAGTGTCACAGCAAATTCCGAAGGGACCCTTTTCAGTTTTACCTTGTGTTTCTATGGAAGGTGCCCAGAGACTGTGCTAGATAAGGTGCTGAACTAAAGCCGAAAACAACCTGGCCACTTTCATTTCCAGTTCTGGGGGAAATTGGTAAAATTCCATTTGGATCAAGAAATGAAAGTTACACATACCACCGCCTCCAATGGCTTTTCAAAGGCATCATAGCAACACACCTCTCCTTAGCAAGTTTTTCTTCATACTAAAAACCATCCAGTTCATTTATATACAAGTGGAATTTGATATAGTATTATAAATTATTATAAATTATTATTCACATGGCCAAGATCCTTCAGCAATGCTTACCCACAACTAAGTCCCATTCTACAAAAGTTCTTTCTCTAATAAAGTAGTTCTTAATAAATAAATACAAAGTCTAAAACCTTTTATTCTGCCAGTTACAAAATGCTGGCGCTGGTTCTCTCTGCTTTAACATGATGCTGTTTTGTGGATTCTTAATTGTATTTATTTTGTTGTGATGTTCTTAATCTTAACTCTTATATTGTAGCTGTCTTGCAAGGGGTTTGCTTTTAAAAGCAGAATAAAAATCACTCAGAAAATAAGTAAAAGAAAAAAAATCTGACTGTCTAAATTGCCCAGGAAGGAATAGGGAAGCATTGCTATATTTTGTTCTGTCTGATTTCTTGTGCCTTTAATAGCTGCATGACAGACAGAAATTCAGGAGATGCGACTTTCCTAGCATGGAAATGCAGTGATGAAGAAGCTGTAGCTGCTGAATTTCTGCTTATCGCTCTTCTTTTAGAAGCACAGAAGAAGATATTCCAAAAGTAAATGTAGGAACACTGTCTGAGGACACCATTTCAGGCCGTCATAACCATATCTCAGTTTAATCTCTTTTCAGTGCTTCTAAGTATGTTCAGAACATCCTTTCCCCACCACTGAGTAAGCATAGCTCATGCCCCAAACCTGGCCTTCAACAAATGCTTGATGTGCAGAAATTAGCAGGGGGAGATTTTCAGATCGTGGTGTTGAACTTTGCCATAGGGCTAACGTCAGCCTATTCCTAGTGTAGAGCCATAACAAACCCCCCAAAGGCCTTTCTTAGAGAGGAGAGGAGCCACCCTGTATTTTTTTCTGAGCAGTTTTTCTTTTGGGAAAAGAAAGCAGGCCAGACTGAGGACGTTTTCCAGTCAGCTGGCTAACCGACAGATAACAAAACACTTTTATGGCTACCACCACAATCACCAGCATTTAACCTCATCTCCCTTCTCCACTCTCCCAGTGTCTTTTACCTCTCTTTATCTGGAGGAATTACAGGCTTGAGGTTTCTGACATGTCCACAGCAACTGAAGGAATTTTAGCTCACCAGCGGAAGTCAAAGGCAGATCAGAAGCGAGCGAGGACCTCAGGTTAGGTGGGAAATCTAGCTTCATGGACTTCACTGTCCGGACATTCTCTTACTTTCATTCCTTCTTTTACGGAAATTGCTTTTGTTCTTGCTTCAATCCCATTTCCCAGCCATCATGTGTCTGTGACACAACTTGCCATTGATAACAACATATGAACTTTGGTTCCAACAGCTGATAAGCCATGGCAGGCTCCTCAGACAAGCAAGAAGAAAACGTATCATCCTCTGCCCGCCGCAGTAGTTTTGTGGCGAGAAGAACGCGACAAATAAGGAAGTGGGCTAGTGGTGCTTTTGCTAGCTTTTTACTTTTCTTCTCTTGCACTTCCTCAGACGTCTACCCTACCCTGTGCAGAAAGTGCAGAGCAAGGCAAGGAAATTAATCATTAGCCAGTAGCTATCACATCAGAGTTCAGGCTTGCAGGGCTGAAAGGAAGTAGAGCGTTTGTCAGATGGGTGTGTCATGCAGAGCACATCACACCAATCCTCCAGCGTTTGCGTTGCCTTTTCCGGCTAGAAAAGGTGCTGATTTTTGTGTTAAAACCACAGCTGTCCTGGGTCTAAAACACCCAGAGATTGCCTTCTCTCCTTCGCAGTGAGAGCCAGAGAATCCCAAGACATTTTGATGCCTGAGGCAGAAAAAGTGTGGTAGAGTGATAGGGGCAGGTGGGGCTCGTCAACCTGGGAAGGTAGCCCATCTAGGAGAAGGAAAACTCTGATCCTAAAACTTGTGGAAAGTTTTGGGAGAAGAAATCCAGAGTGGAGCTTCTCAGGTGGTTGGGTGGCACCTTCTATGCCTCCTTCCGGCAACTCCTGCAGCCAAGCTGGTGTGAAATAGAGGCCCCAAATAGTGCAGTGGTTAGGCTTTGAGCATTCCATAGGGGGAGGGCTGGTGGGGGGGGACTCCCTGGTCCTGAATGGGGTAACTGTGTCCCTGAAGGACCAGGTGCGCAGCCTGGGAGTCATTTTGGACTCACAGCTGTCCATGGAAGCGCAGGTTAATTCTGTGTCCAGGGCAGCTGTCTACCAGCTCCACCTGGTACGCAGGCTGAGACCCTACCTGCCTGCAGACTGTCTCATCAGAGTGGTGCGCGCTCTGGTTATCTCCCGCTTGGACTACTGCAATGCGCTCTACATGGGGCTACCTTTAAAAGTAACCCGGAAACTACAGCTAATCCAGAATGCGGCAGCTAGACTGGTGACCGGGGGCGGCCGCCGAGACCACATAACACCGGTCTTGAAAGACCTACATTGGCTCCCAGTATGTTTCTGAGCACAATTCAAAGTGTTGGTGCTGACCTTTAAAGCCCTAAACGGCCTCGGCCCAGTATACCTGAAGGAGCGTCTCCACCTCCATCGCTCTGCCCGAACACTGAGGTCCAGCACCGAGGACCTTCTGGCGGTTCCCTCATTGCGAGAAGCCAAGTTACAGGGAACCAGGCAGAGGGCCTTTCACAGGTGCCCGCCCTGTGGAACGCCCTCCCATCAGATGTCAAGGAAATAAGCAACTATCCTACTTTTAAAAGACATCTGAAGGCAGCCCTGTTCAGGGAAGTTTTTAATGTATGACATTTTAATGTATTTTTAATCTTTCTTGGAGGCCGCCCAGAGTGGCTGGGGAAACCCAGCCAGATGGGCGGGGTACAAATAATAAATTATTATTATTATTATGAATAGAGCACAAGACACTTAATCCCAGGGTTGTGGGTTCGAGACCCACGTTGGGCAGAAAGATACCTGCCTTGCAGGGGGTTGGACTAGATGACCCTTGTGGTGCCTTCCAGTTCTATGATCCTACGAAAATACCTCTATAAACTTCACAACCACCAACAAAAACTAACTGCAGGGGTGGGGAACTTGTGGCCCTTCGGATTCTGTTGGACTCTGCAGCCAGCATGGCAAATGACCAGGGCTGATTAGGCTTCTGGTTCCCCACCCCAGATTACTGGGTGACCTTGGGCTGCCTACCATCTCTGAGGCTAACCTCCCCTGGGCTGTTGTGAGGATAAAACAGTGTGTATGTGAGCACGTACGCTGCCTTGCACTGTTTGGAAGAGGGGATATTATAAATAAACTGAAGAAGCAAGTCACCTCTCCCTCTCTACTGAGGGTCTGGCCTTGCCAAGATTGCCTTATTGGCCATACAATCCATGCACCAAGTTCAAACAGCAAGGACACATGGAGAGATGCTTTTCACGCTGCCCCGTGGGCAGACATTTTGCAGAGAGGCAGTGCACTGAAGAGGGGGCAGAATTAATGAGGAACAGTCCGTACCCAAAGAAAAGTAGCCGTGCAGATTTGAAGTTATATAATTGCATCAGATTAGAATGGAACAAAGTGCTGGTGCAGACCGCCACAACATCCTTCCTTCCTTCTCATTTTTAAAATGATTTTATCATCACGGGGTTGCCGTCTGGGCTTGTCTATGATGGCAGATGCTTACTTTATTACTTTTTGCTTTAAATAGATTTTTGGTGCTTATTCCTAAGTAAATGTGCTAAGCATTGGGGCTGCCGAAGCAAACCCCATTTCATTTCTGTCGGTTAGATGGCACGAAGATTTAAGTGCCTTTAAAGTGAGAAACTGCACATGCTCTGAATGTTGTGTGCATGCGTGATTATTATCATCACCATTATTAAGTTTTCAAGGAAAGTAATAGTAGAGAATAATAGTAAGGCAATATTATATATGCAATTGATGTATAGAATCAGTGCTTTTATCTGGGGGGGGGGGAGGGCAGGGATACGCATACCCCTAAACATTTTGTGAATATTTGTACAGTGGTACCTCGGGTTACATAGGCTTCAGGTTACATACACTTCGGGTTACAGACTCCGCTAACCCAGAAATAGTACCTCGGGTTAAGAACTTTGCTTCAGGATGAGAACAGAAATTGTGCTCCAGCGGTGCGGCAGCAGCAGGAGACCCCATTAGCTAAAGTGGTGCTTCAGGTTAAGAACCATTTCAGGTTAAGAATGACCTCCAGAACGAATTAAGTACTTAATCCAAGGTACCACTGTACTTTTGTCCATTTACTGTATTTATTTCCCCCGATTTGAACTATAAAATGATAATTTTCTTGAGTCAAAATGAGAGTACCCCTAAACATTTTTTAAAGCACTGTATAGAACAATAAAAGGTAAAGGGACCCCTGACCATTAGGTCCAGTCGTGACCGACTCTGGGGTTGCGGCGCTCATCTCGCTTTACTGGCCAAGGGAGCCGGCGTACAGCTTCCGCTTCATGTGGCCAGCATGACTAAGCTGCTTCTGGCTCCCCATTACACTAGTGAAATTTGTTTTTCGATCTTTGGATGATTTGGATGGAAAACAACCAAGGAGAGGAGCAATAATATGCCTTAATCTCTGATAATACTGGGAATTGAGCTTCCAGTTAGGTATTGTCCACACCAATTCTTGCGTTCATATCGTTAAGTTGTGGGTGAACATATCAGACGACACAGTGATTCTTCAGACAGCTCTTGTCTATTCACAGGCCAGAACAGAACTGAAGGGTTCAGCCAGCCTGCTTATATAGAGCTCCATTACAACGCAACAGTAACAACTTTCTGTAACTATCCAATCACTGAACGTCACTTTCAATTCCTTATTTGCATATGTGAACCTGAGTGAAAACTATCTACAGTATCCCCCTGCTGGCCCAGGGTGAGAACTTCAGTACATAACACATATCACCCATTATATGCACAGGAGCAGTAGGGCACTTGATTAATGGAGAGGATAGACAGCTTTGTAATTTGTGCCAGGAGCTCTCAATCTGTGCTTTAACTTTATAGGGCAGAATATAAACTGAGACAAAAGTAATAGATTTAGTCCCAAAATTCAAAATGCTTCCCAGGGTTTAGATGCTCAGCGTCCTTGAAAACCGTGATCTGGGAAGAGAGGGATGAAGAGACCATTGGAGCAAGACCCCCTCCTGGTCGCCCCTTCCTTGTCCTTTTAGAGGCCTTGGTTTCAAACACATGATAGTCATCAAGGGAGATGCTTTCAGTTAGCCAAGTTCCTTGCAGCGTTGTCACGTCATAACCCTTTATATACTTGCAGAAAGACTCATCCCCGAACTTGTTGGCCCAGCTGCAATGTTCCACGAGATTATTACACTAGCAGAAGTCCTTGCAAAGACTTCCATGACATTAGTTAAAGCCCATCCATAGGGTGGCAGTCAACTAAGCTTTGCTCTGAGAAGACCCACTGAAATCAACAAACAGGACATTAACTTCAGTTTTTCTACTCTGAGTAAAAGTTGGTTAAATATCACTCAAAATGTATATAAATACAAACATTTCTGTCTTATTTTAAACGACACAAGAAAGGGCTTAGTCTGTAATTAAACAGTACAAAGATTTTCATCATTTCTATATCTCTTCTAACAGAAATTGTCTCCTGTGGCGAAATGGGCCGGTGCATCCGGCTGTTAACCCAGAAGGTTGGTGGTTCGAGTCCAGCCAGGGTTGGCTGTAATAATAATAATAATAATAATAATAATAATAATAATAATAATTTATTATTTGTACCCCGCCCATCTGGCTGGGTTTCCCCAGCCACTCTGGGCGGCTTCCAACAAAGATGAAAGATACACTAAAATGTCACATATTAAAAACTTCCCTGAACAGGGCTGCCTTCAGATGTCTTCTGAATGTCAGGTAGATGTTTATCGCTTTGACATCTGCTGGGAGGGCGTTCCACAGAGCAGGCGCCACTACCGAGAAGGCCCTCTGCCTGGTTCCCTGTAACTTGGCCTCTCGCAGTGAGGGAACCGCCAGAAGGCCCTCGGAGCTGGACCTCAGCGTCCGGGCAGAATGATGGGGGTGGAGACGCTCCTTCAGGTATACTGGACTGAGGCCGTTTAGGGCTTTAAAGGTCAGCACCAACACTTTGAATTGTGCTCGGAAACGTACTGGGAAACGGCTGTGTGCAGGATTCCTGCGTTTTAATGGATTGGTGACCCTCGGGATTCCTTCCAACTCTACGATCCTATGATTTCTTCTTGCACCTTATTGTTCCAGTGTAGTATAAGCATAACTTACAGATTTGAAAATAAAGGACCAGCAGCCAAAATAAGGGATTTTCCAGGCACAGTGTGATGGCCTGGGAATCCGATTCAGAGGATGAACCGGAGGAATCCCAGCCTGCACAGGAGTTCCCGCCTCCAGGGCTGGCTGAACTGGGGCAGGGCCTTGATTCTGAGGCACCTGCACCTGTGCTGGATCCTCTGGAGCAGGCACCAGGTGAACCCATTCTGGCTCCAGAGGTAGTTGAGGACTCAGTGCCTACAGGTGAGCCTCCCCCTGGGCCCAGTAACCCT